GGGTAGGGATGGAGGAAAATGGGACCAAAAAAGGGGTCACAGGAAACTTTCACATTAACTGGGCTGTTTACTTCTTACGCTGAGTGGTGCACACACAGTTATTTATTGGGTAAGGCTTTAGTTTTGCACACCTGAGATGTCTTTTTTTTAATAAAAATAAAGTCAACAAGTAACAATTATGCAAACGTCCTCCTTTTAACCAGACAATGGTTTGCCTCTGGGACTCACTATTATCTGCTGGCGTTCATTCTTTTCCCAAAAATAAAACATAAAACACACTATCTCTCCCAAACAGCATATATTCCCAGTTACTGTTTTAGTGTACTGGTCTCTATCTCCCTAAAGTATATGCTACAAAAGGATATTATATAAAGATGCAAAAATGAAAAATTGTTCCATTTGCATTTTAAAAATAGAGTTCTGGCTAATAATCTACGACAGGAAAAAGTTCACAAGAATTTTGTCTTTTGCCTATAGTTTTCTTTAATGACTAAATAGTTGGTTGCTTCAAAGAACTGCAAGAAAACCTTTCAATATCACTTCTTCCCAAAGGAGAGGCCTCATGTGCAGGAATTTTTAGAATATCCCATACTTCTCACAACTTCGTTTTACTTCATCTCAATCAAAGCTGCTTAAACAATCAGACACTACTTACTGGCTTTTCTCTTATTCAGTGACTTCCCCTGATAATACAAAGTCAACAGAGTTTTATAAGTATTCCCCTTAAAGTCTTAAGAGTTAACCATCAAGTCATACATAGAAAGACAAAAACCTTACGATCTCATTTATACGTGGAGTCTAAAGACCAGCCAATCAGCCAACCAGTCAACCAACCAACCAACCACCCCCCCAACTCATAGATAAGAGAGAAGAAATTGGTGGTTGCTGGAGGGGGGAAATGGGTAAAGGGGATCAAAAGGTACAAACTGCCAGTTATAAAATAAATAGGTTATGGGGATGTAATGTAAAGCATGATGACTATAGTTAATAATATTGTACTGAATACCTGAAAGTTGCTAAGAGGGTAAATTGTAGTAATCTCATCACAAGAAAAAAAAATTGTGACTATGTGGTGATGTAAGTTAACTAGACTTATTGTGGTGATCATTTCACAATATATACAAATATCAAATCATTATGTTGCACACCTGAAATTAATATAATGTTATGTGTCAATTATATCTCAATGAAAAATAAAAACATTATTGCAAAACAAAAGAGATGACTATCAATAAAAATAAAAATAATTATAATGACTACTTGAAATATGCACAGCATTCCCAAGGACTAAGATACCATCCTAAAAGATAGATACTATAAAGGAGTCTGTACAGGTTGTTAATTTATTACATCAAACAAAAAACTTACCAGTTTAAGGTAGACATTTTATTTCTAGATGTTATATTTCAAATATATTCTTACTTAAACTCTTAAGAATAAAAACATCAGCACTGGAATGCATGCTCGATGAGGACAGGGATTTGTGTCTGATTCATTGCTATAAACTTAGCAGCTAGAATAGTGTCTGTCTGATACACAACAGAAACTCAAATGCCTTCAAACCCAAACCTGATTCCCACCACACCCTATGCTTGCTAGTAGAATGCTAGCATTTGAATACCAATGCAATACTTCACAAACTGGGAAACCTATCACTCTAACATCTCTAGTTCTTTATCTTAAAGTATTAAACAAAAATTATTTACCTGTTTCTCAGACATTGATATTTTCCTTTTCTAATTTGTTTCATTCTACCATTTTTCTACTTAGTATTAAAATCCTGCTTTTAAAATAAATCAGCACATGAAGATAAATATTCTTATAAAGAGTCCAAAAGGCCTTTTAAAATAGGCTATTAAGATGTGTTAAAATAATTCAAGATGGCAAATAAGCACATGAAAAGATGCTGAAAATCATACGTCATTAGGGAACTGCAAATTAAAAGAACAAAGAGACACCACTACACACCTATTAAAAGAGCCAAAATCCAGAACACTGACAACACCAAATGCCGACAAGGATGTGGAACAGCAGGAACTCTCATTCATTGCTAGTGGGATTGCAAAATGATTCAGCCACTTTGGAAGACAGTTTGGCAGTTTCTTACAAAACTAAACATCATTTTATTATATGATTTAGCAATCTTGATCCTTAGTATTTACCCAAAGTAGCTGAAAACCTAAGTGCACACAGATGTTTAGAGCACTTTTATCCATAATTGCCAAAACTCAAAAGCAACCAAGATGTCCTCCAGTTGCTGAATGGATAAATAAACTGTGGTCCATCCAGACAATGGAATATTATTCAGCACTAAAAAGAAACGAGCCATTAGGCTATGAATGGACATGGAAGAATCTTAAATGCATATTACTAAATGGAAGAAGCCAATCTGAAAAGATTACAGACTGTGTGATTCCAAGTATATGAGAATCTGAAAAAGGCAAAATTATGGAGAAAGTCAAAAGATCAGTTGCTTGCCAAGGTTTGAGGGTAAGAGGAAGGGATGAAGCACAGAAGTGGAGCACACAGGATTTTTAGGGCAGGGAAAATACTCTGTATATTATAATGATGGGTACATGTCATTATACATCCGCCCAAATCCATAGATCGTACATCACCAAGAGTGAGGTACATCACCATGAGTGAACCATATCGTAAACTATGAACTCTGGGTGATTACGATGTGCCGATGCAGGTTCATCAATTGTACCAATGTTGTCACTATGGTGGGGAATGTAGATCGTGGGGACAGCTGTGCAGGCGTAGGGGCATGGAGTACATGGGAACTCTGTACCTTCCCCTCAATTTTTCTGTAAACTCCAAACTGCTCTAAAAAATAAATTCTATTAAAATATGTGTATATATTTAATAAATATGTTATATACTTCAACTGAAAAAAATCCCTAAGATAATTCATTCCCATAACGAAGTAACAGGTGTAGTGGTTTATTTTTATCCCAAGAAGAGACAAAATTAAGCATTTTTATAGAATATTTAATTCAGATAAGATTTTCACCCATCCTGAAACATTATGGTAATCTTAATTGTATGCTTATTAAGAACATCTGGCTGTTACCATAGAAACTACAAGAGCTGGTTAGTGCCTCCATGATTTGAACAGTTATACCTGTTGGGCCACTTAATCCTGAACTTACAGGTTCCTGTTTAACAGGGAAAAGCGAAAAACGTCTGCATTTGTTTTAAAGAATGGCTAATACACTCATAGAGTACTGTGAATCAAGGTGAATAAAGCATGTGTATGCACACTACATATACACACACTCAGACACGCTACACACCGCCAAAGAGGTTGGTAAAAATTACAGCTGCCGGCTGCTAGCTTTGTTTGAATCTCTTCTGATTACACTTCCCTGTCCAGGATGCCTTTCCTGTTAATTTTCACCTGTAAGAAGAATATTGGATTACTGCAATTGTTGTTAGGTTAAAGGGGAAGGGTGTATTTTGTTTTGCTGGGCTGAAAAGGGGAGCTTAAAGCTCTGAGATTTACTACAAGCAGTCTTCTAGGGAGGTCCCCTTTGGCAGTCTTCTTGCAAGCAGGTTTCCATTGAGCATGAGGAATAGAATCTCATTCACGCAAAGGCACTGTACCTTGGTTTCTTCTTAAATTATCTATACCTCAAGGGAGCATGGGTTCTGACACCAGGATAGCCTCCCCCAACCCCTAAGCAGTCATCACCCAATATATTCAGATTTAATATACACACTTCTTATAACACTCCACGTATTACTGACAACAAAATAAGCCTTAATAGGTGCTCAGCTGTCACTTGCTGTGTGGCTTCAGTCACTTATTCCTTTTCAGTTGAGGAGCAGTGACAGCATTTAATAAATTTAATGTGCTAGGGTGTTTTCTGAGGGCCTGATGTCATAACCATGGTTTGTGTTTTAATGTACTGGTTTTTCTCCACTTGGTCCAGTTCAACTGCTCAGTGGCAGAACTGCCTACGTAACAAGGACTTCTTAAAGGACAATCAGCCTTGCTAAATTCCGTGAATACTAATTATATTTTCAGAAATCCTGAATTCTAAAAGGTGAAAGATTACAGAGTGGCTAAAGTTATGCTCACAGATAGGCATACGCATGCTCCAGCAATATTTTTAAAAATCCCTACAAGCAATGATATTGCAGGTGAACCATAAAACCCTCAATGCGCCTTTGGAACTAGATTTTAAAGTACCACTCCCCACTCTAGGTATTCAATTGATGTTAACTTTCATACTGGCTACTGCTTTTAAGAAAAAGCTTCATTTCACGTTTTGGGCCTGATATTAAGAATCTCGTCACCATTTAGTGCTGGTAACAGCAAAAGACAAAGTGCTTATCAAGTAGTCTTTCTCCAAGCTCCAAGGAAAGCACAAGAGAAAGAGAGTATCTGCTGTGGATCATCCCCTCCTCCTTTTCCAGGTTTGGAGCAGCCAAAAGGAGGTAGGTAGCTATGACACATGTTACTTTCCAATCCTATTTTCAAGTCCAAGTAATGATCATATGGGCAATACAGCTGTCTCCCACAGCGGACCTCTCTGGGGTCCACCGGTGTCTGGGACCCCGGCCCTACAGACACATACAGCACACATCCTTCAAGTTCAAAGCCCAGCAAGGCACCCAGGAGAGGGGAGAGCAGGAGCAGTGAGCAGAGGTTAAACTAGACACCAGCCAAAACAAACACCACTTGCAGAACAAGGCAAACTTTGGGTCTGAGCGGCTGCAGAGTCCCAGAAATGGCCGGAGGAGGGGAGGGAGTACCAGTCTGTCTCAGGAGAGGAAGACAGAGAGCGCACCCAGGACTGCTGAGCTGCAGAAGAGGCTGGTGTCCCCCGGGGGACAAGGGCGTCGCCGCCATTCCCGGCTGCGAAGACCCTTCTCTGCGACCTGGCAGAGGCCTCCGGGTCCCTGTAGGCAGCCTTGTCGCCCCAGCCCGTCCCCTGTCCCCACAGAAATGATCCCCACAGACCCGCAAGGGGAGGGGTGCGAGGACCTACCTGGTGCAGCGTCTCGGCGGGCAGCTGCGACGCTCGAAACAGATCGGCCACCGGGCCCGCTGCTGCGGTGGCTGCGCTGGGGGTGGCCCTGGCTGCTTCAGGGGGCCCGGACCCGGGGCCACCGCTGGCAGCGCCAGTGCAGCGCGCGAAGAGCTCGGAGTAGCACTGCTGCTCACCGTCGCTGAGCAGCAGCGGCGGCCCGGAGCCGCAGCCCGCGCCCGCCGCCGCCTCCATGGGGCCTGGAAAGAGGCCCAGCGGAGCACCGTCCCCGGCTGGGGAGTAGCAGCCTCCACCACAGCTTTCGCCACCCGAGCCCCGGCCTTCGCTGCCGCCGCCACCGCCCCCGCGCCCCGCAGCTGCCGCGGGGCCGCTTCCTCCAGGAGCCCGCCGGCCCCACCCCCCGGACTTGAATGTTGTGCCTCCGCGGCGAGGCACATGGAGACAGGCGCGGCACGGACCAATCGAAGCCTGGGATCGCACCCCGGCCCCGCCCCGCTGCCCCGCCCGCGCCTCACCTGGTAACGAACTCCAGTGCGCCTCGGGCCCCAGCGCAGGGTCACCTGCGCCTCCCCACTGCCCAGCCGGAGAGAGCGGGGGCCAGCGCCGTTCCGCGCCCCACCGGCACAGGAGGGGCGTCTTTGGCTGCCCGCCCCGGTTGCTTGGAAGGGGACCCACATGGGAGAATGGCGCTTTTCAGGAGTCAGGGAAAGCTGTGGTGTTTTCTCCATAGGATGCTGGAGCAGGTGTCCTGCCAAACGCACGCCACGCCCTTCCCAGAAAAGGGACGACGCATGGGAAATTAGGCTTCCCTTTTTCCACTGCATTACTGCTTAGCTCCTGAAAAACTGAAAGATAGAGATCTCCAGAAGAATGAGGTCCCAGTGACCTCATAGTGTTCAGGGTGGCGATAGGATTAGGCCACTTTCTGAGGGATGGCTCAAACCTGGACTTAAACCTTGAAAAGAAATGACATCCGTTAGTATTAAATACTAAAGTAAAAGGAGTATAAAAGGCCCTAGGAAGAACTGCACGTGTATATGCACTAAGCCTCGCTGGGAAACACTGATCCTAAGAAAAAAATGAGTCCAGGGTTACGCACTAATAAAAAACATGTTTCAGAATTTGATTTAAGAGATATATAAAACTTTCACCCCAAATAGTTTTAATTAAAAACAGAAAACAAACATCTCAAAACATAGCACTCGTGATATATACTTTGGTATTTTGGTCAACTAAAATAAGGACCAAGGACAGGAAAAGAAAAAACATCTACAGATGGTTGAGGGGGGAGATACATAAGAAAAAGTTGATAAATGATGGCCAAAGTAATATTTCCCTTTTCAGATCTAAAGAAATAAAGGACAGAATCCACTCCAAAAGCAGTTTTCTTATCTCTTCACTAAGTTTTCCTTACATGACATTTTGCTTCAGACACTCCAGGAAAGAATTAAGCCAGCAGTAGATGGGGGCCAAGCATACAGGAAGGATAGGTAAGTTAAGAGCAGTGAAGACTAACTTAGCTGGGGAATTTCTATTTCAAAATCTTGCCACCTTTGTATTTTTCACAACTTCTCAGGAAAACTGGAAGCCAAGAGATCATGTTTATTCTCTTCCTACCTTCCCAATTGTACTCAGGCTTCCCTAAGAATGGCCCACCGTTCTAACGGAGGTTAAGAAGGGACCCACTCCTCCTGATGAATGCCAAACCCTATTTCCTCCTGCAACTCCTGAGAAAAGAAATCTGAGGTATGGTGGCCCCTGACATTTGTGTAGTTCAAAGCTACATTGCCTCTTTTGGCCTTAGACACATTTGTATCTCGATTTTGCAGATGACAAAATGAATGCAGAGATCGTGTGATTTGCCCAACTGAATACTAGATTCAGATCCGATCTGCATGACTCAACTCAGTTTAATATATTTGACAGATCTTCTTAAGCACCAGAAGCTGCAGAGATGGGTACAAAGTCTCACATCTGTGCCTATCAATCCATCAATCAACACTTACTGGTAAAACAGGGAGTATTGGCTGTGTCCCTCCAGGAATACTGTGGGGAGATTTAAAAAACATGATGTGTTGCTTTCAAGGAACCTGCAGCCTCATTGGAAAAGACAAAACTAACACAACAAATAAAAACAAATAAAAGACAGCATATAATTAGGTGCAAAATTGTGTACCCTGGGCTAAGTGCTGGGGGAATTTAGAGAACAGAGAAAAAATCCGTGAGCCAACGCTCAGCCAGAAAGGTTTGATGAAGGGGGCCCAAGATGGATGTTGACGAATGGGTGGACCTGCGGAGGCAAAAGAACAGGACCGAGAGGCCAGATCACTGGAGAGGGAGGAGCCCCAGACACTTGATGGCAAGGAAGTGATGGGTGAGGAACAGCAGGCTGGGGCAGGAGTTGCTGTCTCCTATAAAACCAGTTTTGAACATTGGGGAAATCAAATCCTGTATCCACCTGTGTGTGTGTGTGCATGTGTGCGTGCGAGCGAGCAAGCAAGAGAGAGAGAGAATGTGTCCCTCTTTCCTCCTACACCAACTCCATCCTCTGAAGCAAAAGCTTGGCAAATTGAGGTGGCTGTTCTCATGCAACAAACAGCTTGTTTTCAGCAGCCCTGCTGGTCTCTTATATAAGTTATCAGACAGTTGACCTCCCTCCATGGAATGAAACCTTTGGTAGCCCTGGAAATGGCTGCGCAGAAACGTTAAAAGCTTTCTGTGCACTGGGAAAGTCCAACAGTTATGTCAGACAAACTGGAGCCAACAATTCTCACTACTTTTTAACAATAGCAAGCTGTCTAACCTTGGGAAGGCAGTTTCCTGCTTTGTTTCCCTGAACAGTATTTTGAATAATTACCCTAGCCATATATTTTCATCGTGCTTTTTAAAGTCACCCATAATACTCAATCATACTTCAGAGCTTTTTTGTTTTAAGGAATAAGAAAAAATTCTTTAGTTAATTCAGCACCTCAGTCATCACAAATTTGAACAAGATTTATTAAATTGATAAAATTCTGAAAATCAAATTTTCAGAGCTATTAACGTTTCTGAAAAATGTGGGGTTTGCTGAGTAAAGAGTAATCTAACTACTAAAACAAACATACAATAATGATTTGTTTCTTGCTCCTGGTACAACCCAACAAGGGTCATGGAGGGGGCGTTCATTCAGACACACTACCTAGGAGCTCCTCCACCTCCTGGGACCTAGAAGCCCTCCACTAGACCCTCTGCACCTGGCAGTTATAAAAGGGGAGCTCAGCAGAGCTAGCAAGGGAGGGTGCCTGGAAGACTGCTTTCATAGGGGGTTTTATGGGCCAGGGCCAGAAGTGGTACATATCATTTCTCCCCATTTCTATTGGTTAGAGCCAAGTCACAGGGTCGTACCAAATTGCAAGGGAGCCTGGGCAATGTAGTCAAGCTTTATACCCAGAAAAAAATGGGTTTGGAGAACATCTAGCCAGATTCTGACATAATTACCATGTAAAAATTTCAGACCTATTATAGACACAGTTCACTGCCAAGATTCCTGTCACGAGGCAATATACCCATCAGTGAGTGTTCTCTGCTAATGGCTCACAGCTGCTCCTTCCTTTAAAGACTTCCTCTCAGCCAACCTAGAGCCACTTCAGCGAGGTTACACCTCCACACCCCTCACAGAGCAGCCCATAGCCAATGGCTTGCTGACAAGTAGAAAAAGCCATCCTTTGCTCTATGGTACAAACCTTGCTCCAGTGAGCCCTGTGGGATCAGGCTGAGGCTCCGGCTGAGACCACATCCTTACTTAGCTCCTTCTTCAGCCTCACTTGGTTTCCCTCGCTCTCCTTTGCCTGAGACCTGTCCCTCAACACAGCACTTAGACACAAATCCCCATTTCGGTTTCCGCTCCCAGAGAATCCAACCTGAGCCAGGATTTTACATCAGAGCAATATGGCTCACATCTCATAGAAAAAGCATGAGCAGCACAAGTTGATCTGTAAATATTTAAGTGATCTCAGTGGAGTATGTATCATCTTACACTCAATAAACAAAGACCACTTTCCCAGCACTGCAAACAGAATCCTTTTATGGTGAATATTAACTGTGAGCTCCTTCATTTTTGTTTCCTGCCCTTTTCTACTTTGACCAAGTTGATGTGGTTACTGGGTCATCTAGATTCTGAGTCTCAGCCTTGCAAGGCCAGCAATACGTATTATCACTTCTTTGTAGGTATGGCAACCCATACAAGAATGCAGGTACACAAATCACAGTTCCAGTTAACTGGTTTACGCCCACAGCAATGTTCTGTGAACTGTTACCTCAGGCACATAGCACTTCCCTTCCAGGTGAATAAGTTGTCTCTGGAGATTGATTGATGTATGTATGTATTTATTTATTTATTGCCTCTGGTGTATCCTCTGTAACAATATCCACTTCACAGTGTGAACAGATATTATTGTACTCACAATTCCAGAAGGAAAGGCACAACTTCGGGAAATTTTTTTTCTTTGGATCCTAAAGTCAGATACAGTAACTCAAACTTTTGAGAACAGTCTTGATCTACATCTCCACATGGAGAGACAAAGACGCCTCCACCCAGGAATTAGTGTCTTTCCTTCTTCCTCATGAAACCATTAGAGAGGTTATTTCGTCAGTTGCTTAATATTACACAGGCAAAAAGTGATTAAAAGCACACAAATATATTAAACTTCCAGCTCCCCCCACCAATACATCAACTCTTAGGTTTAATACGGGGACTAGGAACAATTCAGTGGTCATAGAATAGGAAAAGAGACTAAGGCTATAAACATAAAAAATAAATGAGGTAGAGGAATTAAAATTTTCATACCCAGGATTTGCTCATTCCAACTTCGTAGCCTTTATGCAATACTCGGGTAGGGATGGGGATCTTTGTGATTACTTGGCATAAGTTACACCAAGGAAATTTTTATTAAAATTAGTATGTGAACCTCTATTAAGAAACACATCCTTCCATGGAGCTTCTCGAGCTTGTACAAAGGTGTTATGTATACATTTGTTGCAAGTTACAAATCTACTTTGCAAGATCTACTTCTTGCCAACATAAAAAAAATACCAGTGTGTATTTGTCTTAGTATGATTTTGTGGTGGTGATTTTGCAAAGCAGCATTAACATTGTGATTGTAGGATTTGCCTGAAGTTGTGGTCACAACTGTAAACGTCATTTGCTCATCAGTAAAAAAACAGGCAGGAGATGGGTTCTTTAAAAATCAAAAAACATCCAATTCTAGAGCAGTTACTCAGCTTTTCTCCTTCTGAATGGATTCTCCTTTAGCTTAGCTGATCACTGTTTTCCTCCAGTGAGCGAGCGAACTGGTGTTTGGGAACGCTGTGAATCTATCTTAGTGACAGGGGTGTTACTGACAAGGGAGCTGGCCCCCAGGGAAGCCGAGGGAGTAGGAATGCCTATACTCTGGATCACTGAGATCTTGTTGGTCTTCATGGCCAGGCCATCATTGGGCATGGTAGTATACTGGTTCCACATAACAGGGTCCACGTTCATTGAAGGGGCCATGATTTCCTGCGGAGACATCTCAGGAAGCTGCTTTCCATCTGCTCCTGACAGATCCATGGTGTTGTCAATTGCTGGCTCCCTCCCACAGTGTGCAGAACTATTGTCAACATGAGTCCTATAGTGGACCTGCAAGTTGCCTTTGGTGGTGAAAGCTTGCCCACATGTGTTACACATGAAAGGCTTCTCCCCAGTGTGAGTCTGCTCACGAATCTGAAGAGTGCTGGCTGATGAGTGGATCTTCCTGTACCGCGTGCAGCCATGCTGCTTGCCTTGGTCTGGTTGGCCCACTAACAAAGGCGTCATGCCTGGGGAGACGGTTGTAGATTCAAATGCACCACCCACTTTGACATAGGTTGGCTGGGCTTGGACACTGCTCCAACCTTCCATCTCAGAGCAGTTATTCTCCGAGCTCTCTGCTTTGCCACCACCATCAGACTTGGGATTGAGGCTTTCTGCCTGGCTCTTCACTGGGGAGGCAGCCTGAAAGGGCATGGTCTCCAGGACTTCTGGGTTTCGGCCCTGATACTCCGGGTCTCCCGTCACTGAGGGCAAGGAGTCATTTATCAAGCCTCCACTCTCCACCAAACCCTTTCCTCTGCTGCTCTGCTGCTGGACCAGGGGAGCAGGGCCCGCCTTTCCTGGGGCATCTAAGGGGGTCATCGTGATGAGCCCTAGTGTGGGTGATGCCACGTGGGCACTAGAAAGTGGCATGGGGACCTTTGTGGAGCTGCTGGGGGCATCCTGAGAGCCAACTTCATCTACGTCAATTCTTTTGGTATCATGACAGGTGGCACTTGTGCTATTCTCACCAACCATCAGCTCGGGACCCGCAGTGTCACAGGGGTTCTCCGGCAGGGGTGTGTTGGGAATCTGACCACCCATGTGCATCCGAACGTGTTGCTGCAACATGATCGCATTGGTAAACTTCTTCTGGCAGATGGGGCATGAGTACTGCGTCTTTATGGATGTGTTCGTTTGGTGAGCCTCCAAGTGTGTCTTCAGGTTGCCTTTGGTGGAAAAGGCTCGGTCACAGATCCTACATCGGAATGGCCTCTGCTCGGTGTGGGTGCGGTAATGCATTCTGAGGGCGCTTTGGCAGCTAAAGGCACGGTGGCAAATGAGACATGTGTTGGGGTCAGTGGTGGCCTTGTCAATGTTCTCTACCAGCTGTTGCAACTTCAGGGTCTCTGACCCTGGCTCAGGTGTCCCTCCTCCTGGGAAACCACTGACCCTCTGGGAATTATGGTTTGGCCCCACTGCAGAGAGCACGGATCCATCCTCACTCTCTGGAAAAGGCCCAAGCTGCAGGTCATTGGCCAGGGGGCCACTCTTTAGGTCCTTGGGATTAGTCCCCCAAGACAGATTCTGAGGTAGACCTACATTGGGGTTCCCTGTTACCAGAACAGGTGTGCTTTCTAAAGAGAGACTCGATTCACCTACAGGGACAGGAACAGAGAGTGCATAGGGAGCATCATTGCCTGTTGTCATTTTGTTGTGGAATTCGGCAAACTGCTGGGGGTTTGCCTTCACCTGGAGATGTTGATAAAAGTGCACCTTGAGGCTGTCTTCAGTTGTGAACCCATGACCACAGACAGAGCACATAAAGGGTCTCTCTCCAGTATGAGAACGGAGGTGGATCTGCAAGGAACTATCAGTCCCAAAAACCTTGCCACAGTACTTACACACATGCCTGTAGAGGGCGGCCTGGTCTTTGGGTATGACACCCACTGGGGGCATGTTGGGTGGCTTCTCTTTCCCCTTCTTGGACAGATCTAACGCCACAGTGGAGAAAGGGCTCTGGAAGAGCACAGAGCTCGGCGCCTGAGGTAGCAAAGCACCTGGGAGGTGGTTCGGGAGCACCCTTGACTCATCTGGCCTCAGGGCAAAGGACACCAGCCCCGGGGACATAGAGCTGGTAGTGGAAGGTATGTTTGTGTGAGGTAGCTTGGCTTGTTTCAAGGTGTCCAGAGGCAGACTTTGGCTTCCAGCTTTCTGGGTGAGCAAAGCCACTGCTGCAGAAATCTGCTGGGATACATGGCTGCCTAAGGTTGTAAGGTGGTCAGCTCCCGCCTCGCTGGAGTGGAGGACATGGGCAGCCCACATATTCACCTGGATGCGGATCTGCTCAGTGAGCTGGATCTGCTGTAGCTGCTGCTGCTGCAGATATAGTATCTGCTCCAGGACCCATGGGATGTTGCTAGCACAGGGCTGGGGGGAGGGCAGCGCATCCGCGCGTCGCTGATTCACAGCCACTGTGGTGCCCTGTAGTGCTTGAAGGGTGACGTTAGTGCTGGTCACTTTGCCTCTGGGTAAATAGCTTAAGTCTTGGGGTGGGGAGGGCAGAGCAGTCTCCTTATTTGAGTATAGAACAGACTCCATCCCTGGCTGCTTCTTCCTGTTCCCTGAGCTACTGCTCCCCTCCCTGTGACTGCCCTTACTAATTGGACCATGTGCCTGGTGGCTCAGCATGGCCCCAGAAAAGTCTTCCAAAGGCACCAGCCCCTCACTGTCACTCATAATGAGGACAGGTGGATGTTTAATGCAGTATTTCTGATGTTCTAAGAACTGAGAGAAGCCAAAGAACTCTCCACAGCATTTCTCACAGATGTGAGTCTCCTCCCAATGAGGCCTCTTTACCATTACTTGGTCCCCACTCATCTCATCACCAGTACCTAGGTTCATTGGAGCACCCAGCCCCCTTGCCGCAGGCACTGCTGGGGCCACATCTCCCAACTTCAGGGCCGGCTGCTGTGGTCGTTGCTTGCCCTGGTCCTCCATCTTGATGTGTTGTGGTTTCACCTGCTTGCGCCTCGGCATGGTGCAAGTAGCTGGGCGCTGGGAAAGCTGCAGTTATTTGCCCACTCCGCCACAAATTCCTAGAGTTGGAGATAAATTTTAAATAATAAAATTTCTTCTCAAATATAGAACCATAGAAACAGAAGAACTAAGGACAGACAATCACATGAAAAAACTTTTTTCACAATCGAGGATGTTTCCAAATAGCATTTTGAGAAAAAGCAGCATGTCTTAATTATGTGCTGCTCAATAAATGATTAAGTTAAAGGAGGAATCAGAATTACCTGGAAAGCACTAGAAACACAAGGGCAAAGTATCCTTTCAAAATTTCCTCTCATGAAAGGCTTATATTTGCCTTTAACACTAAATTCCCTCCTAGTTTAAAACTACTTTCATGACATAATTTTATCTCAACTTCATATCTTATTTTAAATTTTCACTCATTTATTTAATTATCTTTTCTAGGGGTCTAGCTAGTCACTAGATGTCTAAGATGGTGCCCTCACAGGGCTGCTGACAAAAGTTCCCAGGTCCTCCTTATGCAGGCTTCTCACAAGGCTACCTGAGTGGCTTCAGAACAAGGCAGCTCACTTCCCCCAGAACTAGTGATCTAAGACAGCGTTTCTGCAAACACACTGTCTTTTACAAGGGAGTCTCAGGAGAGGTGCACCACTTCTTCCATATTCTATTTGTTAGAAGCAAGTCATTAACTCAACTCATGCTCAAGAGGAGGGGATTTGAGCTCCACTTCTTGAAAGAAATATTAAAGAAATTTATGGACACATTTTAAACCACCACATAACTCTTCACAGAATTGGTTCCCAACTACTGTCTTGTTCTTCACAGACTCACACTCAAATTTGCAAAGTGCCAGGGTTTTTAGTTTAAATTGATGCTTACCTACAGGGTCTAGCACAAATAGCACCCCCTTTTAATTACCAAATCATAAGCATGTAATTCTATAACATAACAATATCACTCTCAAGCACACCATATGACATATTTTAGGTGAAATGTTCAAATTAAAACTATAAGTTACTACACCCATATTACTACCCTACCAACCACACTCAAGCAGCCCTTACTTCTGCCAGACCCTGTATTTATAACCTTATAAGGAGGACAGGATTTTTAAAATTCATAAGCACTTTTTTTAGTTTACTAATTTTTTCCAGTAATTTTGGATTCACAAAAAAATAGCAGAACTAGTACAAAGAATTCCTGTATACATTGCACCTAGATTTCCTAAATGTTTCCACATTTGCTTCTTCTCTCTCTCCCCCTCTTCCCCCAACAACTCTCTTTCTAGATATATTTTTCTGATGACTATGTTGTAGGCATAATATCCCTATACCCCTGAATAGTTCAGTGTACATTTCCTTAAAATGAGGATATTCTCTTGTATAACCATTGTACAATTATAAAAATCAGGAAATTAACTATCATCTAATCTACACACTTTATTCAATTGTCACTAATTGTTCCATTAATGTCCTTTAGAGTAAAAGGGGGAAAAACTTTTTTTCCTCATCCAGATCTAGTTCAAGAACACATGTTGTATTTGTCACTTCTTTTTACTCTCCTTTCATCTGAAGCAGTTCCATAGTTTTTGTCTCATGACCTTGACCTTCTTGAATATCACAAGCCATTAATTATCTCAGTTTGTGAGCAGATAGTATTTAATTTGCTTACAAACCTGCATCTTCATTCCTATGTAAGCTTTGTAAATCATTCTCGTAAGCACATAAAAATAAGCACTCTTAAATATTTTTAAAGTCTATCAATGGCCTGTGAGCCAATTGACAATTTTGAGAATAAAGAGGAAAAAATCAAACATTGATCTTGCCTTCCCTATCAAGCTGTACCACCAGTGAACCAAATACTAGATGAAATAGAATTACAATAGGAATGACAATTAAAATACCATCAATTTGCAGCCCCTAATGAGTAAGTAAACCCAAACACAGATCATCAGTGGCTGCTAATATACAGAAAGAGTAAGACAGCCCTGGCCAGTGTGGTTCAGTTGGTTGGGTATCGTCCCACAAAGCAAAAGGTTGCTTGTTCAAATTCCTGGGGGGCACGTGCCTGGGTTTCAGGTTCCATCTCCAGGTCAGGGCACCTCCGAGAGGCAACCAATGGATGTTTCTCTCCCTCTCTTTCTCCCTCCCTTCCCCTTTTTTAAAAAATAAGTAAGTAAAATCATTTCCAAAAAAAAAAATCAGACATTACGTGCTTCTGGCTAGTCATATACAATGCTACCTGTGAAGTACAATAGCCAAAAAAGAAAACCTCAATTTCTTCAAGTCTCTCTAAATCAGCACTGTCCAAGCAAGCTAGTATATAATTTTGTTATCTTCTAGTTGCCACAGTAAAAGCAACTAAATATAAGTATGTGAAATTAATTTTACTAACACTTATTTAATCCAATATATCTAAAATTGTATCACGTCAACATGAAATCAATATAAAACTACTAATGGGATAGTTTACACTCTTTTTTGTACGTCTTAGAAATCTGGTACATATTTTTTACACTTACAGAACATCTCAAGTTCAGCTAGTGTTCAAGAAAATAATTATTCATATACTTGTTAAAGATGGTAAGATAGACTTTATTCAAGAGGGGTTACTACACTGAGGTTTTGCAGTACGGGAGTGAGACTGGGCTCAACTCCAAATACAAGGACAAACGGAGATCTATAGCCAAGGAGCAGAACAGGGGTCACCAGATGAAAAATTACTAAGATGAAACATCAAGGCTAGAAGGGTTTTTCTAAGGTAAACTCAAAGTGAAAGTAGGCCAGGGTGACAAGATATTGAGGGTAGGGGATGAGAAATTTCATCAGATATTAAGGAGGGAAGATTTTCACTAAACTAAGCCAGAACGATTCTTGCTATAACTGAATTCAGCAGGTCAAGGACAAAGCACAAGGCCAGAACTAGTCAGAAAGGTTCATAGTCAGAGGAGGTTGACTCAAGTTTGATCAAGGACAGAGTCTTTGCCACTACTCACATCTCAAAGGCTCAAAAGCCACATATGGTCAGTTGCCGCCATATTGGGCAGTGTAACTGTAAACAGAACTATCAATGGGCAGAAAATGTAAAAGACAGAAGAACATTTTAGACTTCACCACAGAGAAGCAAGTAGCCAAAGCCAGACAGAGGAATTGCCTACAAGACAATTTTTCTTCAACAAATAAATTCCAAAGAAGAAGAGATGATGATAAGGAATCTTTACATGGAAAGAGGTTTACGCTACAATAACTTAATCACAGTCTGTGGATCTTATTTGGATCCTCATTCAAACAAACCAAAACAAATGTATGGCACTTATGATGCAAATGGAAATTTGAACACTGGCTAGATATTCTGCGACAGTAATTATTATGATAATAGTCTTATGGTTAACTATAAAGAAAGAATCCTTATAAAGATAAGTGTCAAATATTAATGAGTGAAATTATATTGTGTTTCAGGTTCACTTCAAAATTACAAGGGATATAGAAAAAATCCCATTTGCTATAGCAACAAGAAAAATAAAGTACCTAGGAATAAACCTAACCAAGGAGGTAAAAGACCTGTACTCAGAAAACTACATAACACTGAAGAAAGAAATTAAGGAAGACACAAATAAATGGAAGCATATACTGTGTTCAATGACTGGAAGAATTAACATCATCAAAATGTCCATACTACCCAAAGCAATTTATAGATTCAAGGCAATCCGTATCAAAATACCAATGACATATTTCACAGATACAGAACAAACATTTCAAAAATTTATACGGAACCATATATGACCCTGAATAGTCTCAGCAATTTTGAGAAAGAAAACCAGTCTACGGCCATACCACCCTGAACGCACCGATCTCATCTAATCACGGAAGCTAAGCAGGGTCGGGCCTGGTTAGTACTTGGATGGGAGAAAGAAAAACAAAGTAGGAGAGATCACAATACCTGATATCAAACTACATTACAAGGCCACTGTAATCAAAACAGTCTGGTAGTGGCATAAGAACAAACACATAGATCAATGGAACAGAATAGAGGGCTGAGAAATAAACCCATGTTTTTATGGTCAATTAATTTTCAACAAAGGGGCAGAAGCATAAAATGGAGTAAAAATAGCCTCTACAACAAATGTTGTTGGGAGAGCTGGACAGCTACATAGTGGTCAATGAAACCCGACCACCAACTTACACCATACACAAAAATAAACTCAAGATGGGATAAGTCATGACACCATCAAAGTTCTAAAGGAGAACGTAGGCAGGAAACTCAGATATTCCACACAACAGTATTTTCACTGATATGTCTCCTAGAGCAAGGGATATAAAGGAAAGAATAAACAAATGGGACTACATCAAATTAAAAAGCTTTTCTGCACAGCTAAAGAAAACATCAGCAACCACAATGAGATACCACTTCACACCGATCAGAATAGCCATCACTAACAAATCAACGAATAACAAGTGCTGGCAATGTTGTGGAGAAAAGGGAACCCTAGTATGTTGTTGGTGGGAATGTAGACTGGTGCAGTCACTGTGGAAAACAGTATGGAATTTCCTCAAAAAACTAAAGATAAAACTGCCTTATGACCCAGTGATTCCACTGCTGGGATTATACCCTAAGAATCCTGAAACGCCAATTCAGAAGAACCTATTTACCCCAATGTTCATAGCAGCATTATTTACAATAGCCAAGTGCTAGAAATAGCCTAAGTGCCCATCAGTAAATGAGTGGGTAAAAAAACTGTGGTACATTTACACAGTGGAATACTACACAGCAAGAAGGAACTCCTGCCCTTCACGAACAGCATAGATGGAACTGGAGAGCATTATGCTAAGTGAAATAAGCCAGGCAGTGAAAGACAAATACCATATGATCTCACCTATAAGTGGAACCTAATCAGCAAAACAAACAAGCAAGCAAAATAGAACCAGCGACAAGGAAATAACGAACAAACTGACAGTGACCAGAAGGGAGGGGGGAGGAGGGTAACGGGGAAATGAGGGGGA